GAGGGAGGCGGAGCTGAGGTGGCATTGGAGGGCCCATTCTTCCAGCAGCCGGTTCCTCATAGAACTGCCCCAGCTCCTTCTGAATGTTCCGGAACCCGGTGTGTCCAGCTCAGGGCCTGATCTGGTCATCCAGACAGCTGAGCGCCTGCCCCTCCGGGTTCTCGGCCCCTATGATGACAGACCAGCTCCCTCTGGTCCCTCCTGCCCCGACAGTGAAAGCTCCTCAAGGAGAGGGGGCACGAAGGGTGTGGGTTCCCGGGCCTCCCCTCCCCTGTGGCGCCGGGACAGGCCTTGTCACATCTCCAGGCCTCAGTTTCCCATCCATAAAACAAGGAGGCTGGGCCTTTCTTAAGCTACAGAGTTAATTATTATCCTGAAAGGGAACCACCGGGCCTGCTGCCTCCCTTGCTCCTCCTCAGGCCACGGCTGGCAGGGACACATCTGGAGAAACTTGGGAGCAGAGACCTTTGGCTTCAGGGCTGCGACAGGCAGGGAGCCAGGGCCAGGCGTGGGACTAGCCACCTGTCACCATAGTCACCGTTGCGGGTGTGCCACAGGTGAAGGAGTTCGACTCCATCTCCCGGCTGGACCAGTGGCTGACCACCATGCTGCTGCGCATCAAGAAGACCATCCAGGGCGAGGAGGAGGACCTGCGCTAAGCCCCGCCCCTGGCACCTGTCTTCCAGCCCCTCTGCTTTCCCCAGCGGCCCCTCCAAACACTGCGTGAGCCCCGAGAGGTGGCCCAAGACCTGGCTGGGACCTTCCCTCCCTTCCCCCCAGGAATCTCGCAGGCCACAGTGCAGGCTCCACACTGCCTCGGGGCCCTGGAGGCCGGCCTGCTGGCTACACAGTCACCCTCTGTTCTCGCACCCCTCGTCCCTCCCCGGCCCATTTATTTAAGCCCCAAAGAGACCCTTTTCCACCCCGAAGCACAGAGTCTGTGGCATAGACCGATCAGCTGTGGGTGCTGCCAGGGGGTGGGGTCAGCATCTGACCCTCCATCGCCTGACTGGCTGGGGCTGGAGCGTGAGGTTGGTTTCTGTCTTCCCACTTCTGTCCCCCAGCCAAGCGCTGAGCACATGTAGCAGCAGCTGAGATTTGCTCTCCGCTGTGGGGGGAGTTCCCCCTCCCCCCAGCGCCGGGAGCCTCCCAGCCTCCTGCAGCCCAGCCTCCCAGGAGAGACCCCAGGCCCTGGAGCAGGGGGTCATCCTGCACCCACCCCACATCTGCTCCTGCCATTGTGCTCTGAGGTTTTGTTGGTGGGAAGCTGCAGCTGGCCCCCAAAAGAAAATAAAAAACAACACTTTTGCATGAGTCTTCCTTCCTCTTCACCTCTGTGACCCCCTCTTTCAGGGCTAGAGTCGAGTCTCCTGGCCCCCACTGGTCTCTGATCACACTGGGGAGAGGAGGCCAGCTTTGGAGACTCGGCTGGGTCGGCGGTCTCAGGGAGGGAGGCCCAGGGATGGTGGGTTTGGGGAGGAGCCGTGGACTTGGGGGCCTGGCAACCCCCCGTCTTCATCTGTGAGCCCTGGTTTCCTCAGCTGGGTAGATGGCTGGCAGTGCCACCCTCAGAGCAGCTGGAGGATGGGTGCAGCAGTCACGTAAGAAGGGGTGGAAGAGGCCCACGGAATCTCCCAGCCTCACCCACGTCCACAGGCCCGGGGGCAGCACTGCAGGCCCCGGTGGCACTTGTTCTACGTGTCACAGGGTGGGGGAGAGCGGCTTTGGTGGCAGAGTACAGGACCCAGTAGGTGTGGGGAGTGGGAGAGATGACAGGATCCCTTTGCCTGGGAAGAGTGGGAAAGGACTACCCACCTCCACACTCCACGGTGCAGGCTTGCGAGTCAAGTGAACGTCTGCCGTGAATGTCCCTCCTTCCAACCCTCATGGGGGCGGCCAGAGGCGGCCAGAGGCAGGCGGTGTCACAGGGCAACTCCTCAGACAGGGGCTCCAGCCAGAGCTGCATGGAGTGCAGGAGAAGTTCGTATCAGAGTGGCCAGTGCGACACCCGGCCCTGCCCCTCTGGCCCCTCTGCTCCTCTCACAACTCCATTGATATTGGCTGCCTCGAGCTCAGTGACGACTCCTGAGACCTGGGATTGATTACTGATGTCTGCCATGAGCACAGGCTGAAGAATGGTTTAGAATCTATTTCTGTCATTCGTGACTGAAAAAGTAATTCTCAACCCTGGCTGTGCTGGAAATCAGAAAAAGTACTTAAGCTTGGATCACACCCTGATAAATTGTGGTTCCCCACCCTTTGGGGGTTTTTTTTATTTCCTGAAAGTTCCACAGGCAATTCAAAAGAGCAGGTAGGGTTGGAAACCACTGAACAAGACAATCCTTTCCAAACTAGAACTTCATTTATTCATTCGCTCAACAATTCTTAAGAGATGTCGTTTAGAGGTTACCATGTGAGGTAGAAGCCTGAAGAAAGCCGCCTTCAGAAGCAGCAGAACTAGACCCCACATGCTAGTCGCTCAGCGAGTATTGACTAAGCATCTACTGTGCCTGCCCTAGTCCAGCACCTGGGGATACAGCACTTCACCATGGAGCCAGAGCCTGCCCTCGAAGGCTTTCACTCCCCAGATGCAGAGATCTGGGGCTGACACACTCCCCCTCCACATCCAACCTGCCTTTGAGAACTTGCCTTTTATGTCTCTTATGTAACCGTCTGGCAAAGGACTGGCACATCTTTGTAGGTTTTTAACACATTTACTGAATGCTTGCTTTGTGTCAGGCCTTGTAGTCCACATGCTGGGGATGTTACTGCCGTCTCGGATCTTGCAATCTGTGTATATTCTTTCTGCCTGGAGGGAGGTGACAGGAAAGTTGGCCAACTCTAGCCCGGCCAGCGTGGCTCAGTGGTTGAGTGTGGCCCTATGAACCAGGAGGTCACAGTTTGATTCCCGGTCAGGGCACATGCCCGGGTTGCAGGCTCGATCCCCAGTGTGGGGTGTGCAGGAGGCAGCCGATCCATGATTCTCTCTCATCACTGATGTTCCTCTCCCCCTTTCCCTTCCTTTCTGAAATCAATAAAAATATATTTTTTAAAAGAATGATTCTTGCTTTAAAAAAAAAAAAAAAGTTGGCCAACTCTGGAAACTATACAGGTGTAAAGTCCCCAAGCCCGTCCTGTCATTCTAGGGACAAAATACTCAGGAAACTCGTAAGACCCTGGTTTTAGTGTTACAGAATTTCCCAGGCGACTGAAAAAATACACAGGGAGTACTCAGAGACCCAGGATAAACCCATTTACTTTCAGATGTACTAGTACAATGACTCAGGGTCAGTTCTCCAAATCCTGAGTGAGTGAATATGGAGGAAGCTTTCCCTTTATACCCTTTGGATTCTTTGTTTTCTGTTTCCTAACTACCAGGCTGTTGTGGGGCTTCCACAGCCCCTCCTGAGTCAGTCAGAATGGGGGAGTTACATTGTATCCAAATGCCTGGTCTGGGTGGTGCCGGTGACCTCTCCTCTAGCTAAGCTGTCACATTCTTTGTTTATGGCCCCTCTGTAAATTGGGAGTATTCTGGGAAACAGGTTCTGCAAGGCGGGGCAGGCATCAATGGAGTTAATATCGGCTAGCAAGAGTGTGGTCAGAAGGCAGGTTACTGGCACAGACTCAGATTGCTAGCGCCCCCCCCCCCACGGCCCCCAAATGTCTTATGTCCCCCTTCATTAGAAACACCTAGTTAACATCCTGTCCACCCCTGTCTAGCCTATCAGTCAAGGGACTTACTCTCTCTGAGCCTCAATTTCATCCTCTATAAAGTGGGCTAATAAACCTCTGCAGGATTGTTGCAAGGTTATCGAGGTAAATTTGGAAAGGATGTGTGGCACATAGTGCCCAGTGAATGCTGGGTAACAATAGGATGGTTGTGAGGATTCAATGGGATAATCCAGCCAACGTGACTGGCACAAAGCCATTCAATAAAGGAGGAGGTTATTTGTGAGGACAGATAGCTAGACCTTTCTTTCTTTGGGGTAAGAAGAATGCATTTCACCATTTTATTATATATATATACACACACACACACACACACATATATTCAATGTTTTAATTAGAAACAACTTGTTTCTAATTTAATTAGAAACCATCAAGATGTTGGTTTGAAAAAATTAATTCAAAGCTAAATTGAAAGTAATCAGCCAGTTTCTCAATTAGAATTGATATTCCGGGATGAGTAGCAGGATGTCTACATATAGATGAGACTCTCATCTAATATTCAAAGCTATTCCTGAGAGCCAATTGATTAGCTGAAGCAACAGGCACTTCCTTTCATAAATATGTTTTTATTGACTTAAGAGAGGAGGGGAGAGGGAGAGAAACATCACTAATGGGCTGCCTCCTGCACGGCGCTCGGGGGATCTAGCTGGAAACCCAGGCATGTGCCTGACCCGAATCGACCAGTGACCTCCTGGTTCATAGGTAGATGCTCCACCACTGAGCCACACAGGCCGGGCCATTTCACCATTTTAAAAGTGATGTGATTAACAAACTATTGGTGCGGTCTTATTTGGGTTATAATACTACTTCTTACTAGGTGTGTGATCTTACTTTTACCTCTGTGTGCCTCAATTCCTTCATGCATAAAGCAAAGTAACTACCTCAGACTGCTTGTGAGTTTTAAATAAATTGATAGATGGGAAGCGCTTAGAACAAACAGTTCCTGACATGTATTAAGCTTTATTGTGGGAGTTACCTACCGCCCACACAGCGCGCAGGCGCGTTGGGGCCAAGTCTCGGGGAAGCCCGGCGGCCATCTTGGTAAAGGGCAGCGTCGCGGCTGCTGACGTCATCAGTCGACGAGCGG